CCATGATGATTAGCATCAAAGAAGGAACAAGAAGAGCTATTTCGAAATAGCTCTTCTTGTTCCTTCTTTGATGCTAATCATCATGGAAAAAACTAGAAGCAATAAAATTTCATGGGACCAGAGAAAATCGATTTTATTCGAAAAGCCCACTTTTAGGTGATTTTGAGGCCTTCTGAGTATTTCGCATTTTTTCCCTGAAAATTCGCTCCAATAAAAACATAAGATGAGATTCGTGATCTCCGTGCTCTGGCGAATCAAAATATGTATAATTTATTTAAAAATAAAGATGTCACTCATTTTTGCATTGCGTGCGCCTTAAATCATTTTGTCCTGGCATGGTTAGATTATTTTATCGTCCTTTACTTGAATCGTTTGACTTGTTGTTTTAGCTGGTGTATAATTTGCTGTATATTGTTTTATTAACATTTGACAAAATACATCTCAGTCATGAAATTTATTTTCATTTGCATTGTACTAAAATAATGCATCGTCCGTAAGATGTAATGCTGTTAATTTTATCCATTTGAATTTCGTATAATCAGCTAAATCAAATAATAATTCAATACGTTGTATCCATGCTCGAATATCTTCATTTGTGCCATTAAAATTGACAATACTATCTAGCAAATTTTGAATATGTACTTGTGTTGCTACATTGAGTGGAATATTGGGTAATGACGCTGCTGATTGGTTATCATCAATAATACTTGGTTGTTGTTACTGTAGTAATGGACTATGATCCTGTGTGGTTGATGTTATTACCTTAATATAGGTCGATATGAATTCTTCGTCAACATTCTGTTCCGTATCAACCCGACCTAAATAATCTTGATGTTGTGAATCATTAACATTATCATTACTGTATGCATTGTCTTCATTAGGATCTGTATTCGTGTTATCGATTGACAATAAACTTGGATTGGTTGTGCGTGATCGTGTTGTATCTGCTATATTGCTCATGATTACCACTTTTTATATCTTTATTGATTCCTAATAAACACTTGAATGCTGAAGTGCTTCAGCTTTTCTATAGTAACCTTTGCGTTGGTACAGTAAAGTCTTGAATGATTACCACTTAAATACTTGAATTTTCATCTACTTGTAATAGGCACTAATATGGTCACGAGTTCGTCTTGTTGTGATGATCTAATGTTCGCAGCAAGCACCGCTGTCAACTAGAACGTAAGCCTATGTATAGTACTGGAAACACGGTAGAAGATAATGAAAATCTGACGAAAGAAGATGATCATGCAATGCATGATGAAATGATACGATGCAGTATAGTATATTATATAAGGATATCTGACTTGGTTGCTTATGTCGGCGGATCTGCTTACATAACACTGACTCGTTCAGTTTTTATAGTGCTGTCGAGTAAGACGAATAAAAGCAAGATTATAACATGTCGCAGTGGGTTCTAGCTTTGCCATTTCACATAGAACATGGCCAATCAAGCAAAATGTTATTCGAACACAAGTTGGATTTTAGTAGTTTTTCACATTCTATTAATATGCCAATATTTAAAAATTCAAAGTGCCTACTATGTACTACAATGTTTCTTTTCTAGCCAACATATGGTGTATCACATCATTACTATAATTTACTTTTGCAATTATTGTAATAATGGAACGCCATGCTACCTAGCTATTGGTGCCCAATGGTTTCAAGTTTTTACTGCACTTTTCTTGTTCGCCAAAGATCGCAAATCATCTTCTCTGTTTGTGCTCGGTATAATGTCATTGCTCTGCTGTCATCTTGTTGTACATATGGTTTGTATTTTATTGTGGTGGGGACAATTTACGCTGATTGAATTTGGACTTAACGTATTTATATGGTGCTACGGATTTTACTACTTTATTCATATTATCTCGCTTGCCCTTCGATTTAAAGATGGAAGATTTTTAATCTTGTCCCTATTCGGATGGAGAAAGGGTTGTAAAGTCATATGGGTAACAGACGTCGATTTAGCCAAGCAAGTTTTACTAGATTCATCAGACAAGGGTTCATTTATTGAACAAAAAATTGCTGCTCCAGCCTGGTCACCTGTTCTTTCTCTCGAATCAGTAAATGGTGAATCGTGGAGAGACCTCAAGTCGAACTTTCTTATTTTTCAAAAGTATCTTCCGCCTGCGGAAGCGCTCACTCTTGTATTACGCAATATTTTATCTACACAAGATCCAACGGTAGAGATTGATGCAAAACAAGTTGTTCGTATCACCGTAGCTTGTTTCGTCAAGTGGATTTTTAATCTAGACTGGGATCCAAAATGGGATTTTGTCTGCAAGGCATCATGGGAATGGCGTAAAGAAATTGCTGCCAAAGGAAAAGCGGATCCACTATTAAAACGTAGAACAATTGACTGGTTAATCGACTTGATAAGTCAATCACATTATCTCCAGTTATTTGGTGAACAATGGTCAACCCCAGAATGTTATTCTGTTATTATGCAACCATTTATTTTATCTCCCATGATAAATATGAGTGATATTGCAGTATCCGCTTATCGTCGTCCAGACCTGTCCGTTCAAGAACTAATCCATTATTATCATCCACTTCCAATACTGGAGCGCTACATTGAGAACGACATCTTTGTGTTCAATGATGGTGTTCACAGTGTGCTTATTAATGCCAATACTCAAGTATTTATTCCATTGGATACGATTGGACAACAGGAGCAACATACCCGCAAATTATGGACGCCATTCGGAATTGGGCCCAGAAGATGTCCAGGCTCTCAGTATGCACTTTCATTTCTTACTGAATTTCTTACTCACTACAAAAATGATCCAAAATTTGTACCTCAGAAGAATCACAAATATAGCGGAAGAAACAACGACAATCTGTCATTTCAAGAATCAATATATCAGCTTGCTCTATTTGGCAAAATATTGATTCATGGTTAATCATTGTTCGATGAATTGCATTTTCTATAGTTGAATCGAGCACTTCGTGCAATTATATGGCTCTTATGGCTATGACTTCATTATATATTTTGCTACCTGTCTTTGTTCAAAAAACCTATATGCTTCACTTGAGCTCTTGGACACGTCGCTATTGATCCATTGACTAAATTCAGATGGCTTTTTTATTGTAAAAATGTTTGTAGTAAACTGCTGACGGGAATGAAGTGTATCCTGTGTATGTGATTATTTTTTAATATTTCTGAATTTTTCAATTAACTTAATTTTAAGTGGATAAAGAGTTTTTCAAATTTCATTGAGTTTTCCTGTTTTTTGTACTCTTTAAGAGTCCCAAAATACCCTGGGATCGATCGTTTCCCGATTGGCTGACATGCAAAAGAACTAATCGTTTTACAGCAGAGTATATCTCATCCGACTAATTTTTCATATTTAATCAGTTCATTTTGCCTTTTTGTGCTTAAGACTATCTCTGCTGAAAAACATTGCGATGATTCCTCTTTCGGTTAGCAAGATCTTCGTACTCTATTTAAATAGCCCAACAGTCTACTGCCTGTAATGATTTGGGCTTCGATTGATTGTATAATTTCAGAAAAACTAAATTAAAAAAGTTAATTTTTTAGCGAAGTTACAACGATATATGACCATTTGATGATGTTGTAATTAATCTTTTTTTGATTCGCTCTTCCAGATGAAAGGGGTGTCAGACCACAAACGCAGTGCGCTACAACTTGAAAAGTTGACTGCATTGGTAATAATCATCTAAGCTAAAATATTTCTCGAGCTAGTGCACCGTCATATAAGCCCGGCCTTTTTTTCTCGACATGCGACAATTCAAACAGCAACAGCTCAAAGCGCATGCTGACGTATGTTACCAACATCCTTCTTCTAATCTTCTAGTAGCTGTCTTGGGATCTAATACTACGTACTTAGGCCCTTTATCTAAGAGTTGTTTCTTCGCATTCATGGTGGATGCCTGTTGTGCCAGTACCTCTCGAGCATTTTGAACGTCAGCTGCTAATTTATGTATTTCATAGGTTGTATATGTACCCTTTATGAAGGTGAATATACTCGTCAACATCGAGATGGCGCCGAAGATAAGGGCGAAGGGTGCACGTGCTTTTCGTACCTTCACTTCTTCTGATCCTCTTCTGGTTGGCGTTGTAGTACTGTTTTATATACTCTATCTTTCAGCTCGTTTTTATGTGTTAATAGAAGAGTCTTTCTATGTGTCACGCATATTGAGATACTTTTAGATAGGTCTTGCGGTAGTAGATGACAAAAATGTTGTGTTAGTGGCATAGATACCACAATACTTTGGATTCTCTCTATTTCTCTGTAGCGATCGTGTAAAATAATTCTCCGTGATTACTCCTGATCCTCCGTGTATAATGCTCTCTTTACCTGCTTTCATCTGTTGTCTGACCGTCGTGTAGAGGGATCTTGTTATTCTACTTGTTTCTAGTATAATTAGCAGTGTCATAAGCACTTGTGTATTCATCTAAAATGTATAATAAGTTTTCTGTTTTATATACCTAGCATATGTATTCTTTTTCAGGTTTTCTAGTTAGTTCTATCGTACAGTTATCTCTTTTTATTTTCCTCTACTTATGCCATGTGTAATCTCTCTTATATTTTTCTTCTGCATTCTTCTCCAGGCGGAACATCCTGTTTGCTACAGGTGTATATCTCAAAATAGAGCCTATAGAGATTATTTTCACTCTCACTAAAAACGCGCACTCGAGAAATAAATGTGTAAAAATGTATTTTGTTTTTCGTGCTTTATTCATAGTTCAACAAAAAACTTATAATTGCATATAATATATAATATTTTATTTTATTTTTTTAAAAAAAGCTGGTAAACTCGTCAAAATTGAAGCATTCTTCGAAGTATCCGACGTAGTTCTTAAAGCCTCTTGCTTTAATTAGTTTTTCTGCCCTTTCAAACATTATTTTCGGTAATAGCAGTTCTTTTTCCCATGAGAACATCTTTTTTCCAATCCGTCCGTATAGGATACTCTTCATTTCGTTAAAGAAAAAATGGAAAAGTTACGATGTGACTTCATACAGGATTCTATTCAGTTATAAGGACTTTTTCTGGTACTTTTAGCTATGCACTTTTACTTTCTATCAAACTTAAAAAAGTTTTTTGATTTTTGGCGAAACATTTTGCTAGCATTTTACCATTTCCCCACATCACTACTCCAAAAGGTCACAGTGACTTTTCATCTACATTCCTAGATGAAAGTCATAAGGTCACAAATTATTGTTCGCCAAACCAACCTGACATTCAGCTACCCATACACTATCCGTTAGTTTCTCAGCTACAATAACTTCTAATTCTCTATTATGTCGCAGTAGAAATTAAAATTCTACTAGCTGGAATTAAAATTTCATTTCTACCAGAACATATTAAAATAAGCTATGATTTTAAGTTGTACTAGTAGAAATTGAAACTTTAATCTCTACTATAGGAGCATTTTAAATTCTTCCAGAAAGTTTATACTGTGGAAGTATTCTAATTTCTACTGTACGGCCGGGACCTTAAATTGCCTCTTGACTTAATGTATGGTCCAGAAGTAAATGTTCTTGATGAATTAAAATCATCCGATGAAGTTTCATTTTCCGTTGTTTCACTTGCAGATGAACCTTCCTCAGAGCCGTACTGATGTCGTTGAGTGCATCCATGTTTGCATGCTCTTGTATTCAAACAACGTCCGTATCATTTCTCTTCTTTTTTTCATTCTTTGTGCTTTTTTTCATCTACCATACTTCGCTTAGTACACAAAAAAATCAAAAACACCAATTTTCAAGAAATTGGGTAAGTCTTTCCTTTTCATTTTTGTCTTTTTCTGCTTTAATTTCTTCTCCTTCGATTTATCATTATTTGTCAATCACCCTGAGCCTCACCACCCTCATCTACCCTCACCCAGATCGACGTTGTGCATATGCTTTCATCTATTCACGAAACAAACATGGTACCTACAGGCAAAATCGATCGCATGACCAAAAATCCAATATTGAAACCAGTTTGTATCAAAGAATACAAAGTAAATATAGGTGCTGTAGATAATATGCAGATTAGTTTCTCGGAGTGCATTCGAAAAACTATAAAGTGGTATGAAAAAATGTTTTTCCATTTCCTTGGTATTAATCTACTCAATGCCTTCATTTTATACAAGTTCAAGACCGGAAGAACAATTTATTTAGAAATAAATGTTAGCCAAAAGTACTTTAACGTGTGGCTCCAAAAACACACTTTAAAATAAACAATAAAAAAAACAAGTACACTTCTGAACCATCTGCAGGTTCGAAACTAACAAACGAAGCTGCATAAAATTGAAATACACAAAAAAAACACATCTTTTTTTAAACATCACGAATTTTCAATATTGACTCATTGAGTTTTCCTAGAAAAAAGTCGGATTTTCTAAAATTTTCCAATTTTCAAAACACAACTAATTTTGCTCAGAAGTCAATTTTGAACCCGAAAAAGGTTCCTGACCAGATTCTCTTATCGTGCATTTTATAGAGCGTCTGATCCTCTACAAACTACACTAAATAATTTGTAAAAAAAAGTTTCAGAACATGGCAAAATTTGGGAAACCAAGACGTATGCT